GGTGAAGGCTCCTCAGGAAAGAATGTCAACTGCCAAATACGGCATGATCACAAATGTTATGATTATTACGTAACAGTAGACCTTACTCAGTTACATAACAATGGTAATGTTACGCATGACATATCTTAATGCATCACCTTTCAAGCTACTACTGAACAAGCATAAAACGATGCCCAATTATGTTAAAATGATATGGTTTGATTTGGCATTAGCATGAAAAGAATTCCTGTTTGACAAGATATTATTATATGTTCCCGACATACAATTTTTCTCAAACTTGGTTCGAGGTTACTTCACAATATGTTCTTCTAGGATATTTTATTCAAAAGTGGGGCACGTAATCGAAAAGTACAAAATTTGGGGTTGAAATACTGATATTTATTAATTTTGATGTAAAATTCCTGTTTGGGCCATGTTCAACAAGATATTAATATATGTTCCCGACATACAATTTTTCTCAAACTTGGTTCGAGGTTACTTCACAATATGTTTTTCTAGGATATTTTATTCAAAAGTGGGGCACGTAATCGAAAAGTACAAAATTTGGGGTTGAAATACTGATATTTATTAATTTTGATGTAAAATTCCGGTTTGGGCCATGTTTAACAAGATATTATTATATGTTCCCGACATACAATTTTTTCCAAACTTGGTTCGAGGTTACTTCACAATATGTTCTTTTGGGATATTTTATTCAAAAGTGGGGCACGTAATCGAAAAGTCCAAAATTTTGGGTTAAAATGCCGATATTCACTAATTTTGATGTAAAATTCCTGTTTGGGCCATGTTCAACAAGATATTAATATATGTTCCCGACATACAATTTTTCTCAAACTTGGTTCGAGGTTACTTCACAATATGTTCTTCTAGGATATTTTATTCAAAAGTGGGGCACGTAATCGAAAAGTACAAAATTTGGGGTTGAAATACTGATATTTATTACTTTTGATGTAAAATTCCTGTTTGGGCCATGTTTAACAAGATATTATTATATGTTCCCGACATACAATTTTTCTCAAACTTGGTTCGAGGTTACTTCACAATATGTTCTTCTAGGATATTTTATTCAAAAGTGGGGCACGTAATCGAAAAGTCCAAAATTTCAAGTTAAAATGCCGATATTCACTAATTTTGATGTAAAATTCCTGTTTGGGCCATGTTCAACAAGATATTAATATATGTTCCCGACATACAATTTTTCTCAAACTTGGTTCGAGGTTACTTCACAATATGTTCTTCTAAGATATTTTATTCAAAAGTGGGGCACGTAATCGAAAAGTACAAAATTTGGGGTTGAAATACTGATATTTATTAATTTTGATGTAAAATTCCTGTTTGGGCCATGTTTAACAAGATATTATTATATGTTCCCGACATACAATTTTTCTCAAACTTGGTTCGAGGTTACTTCACAATATGTTCTTCTAGGATATTTTATTCAAAAGTGGGGCACGTAATCGAAAAGTCCAAAATTTCAAGTTAAAATGCCGATATTCACTAATTTTGATGTAAAATTCCTGTTTGGGCCATGTTCAACAAGATATTATTATATGTTCCCGACATACAATTTTTCTCAAACTTGGTTCGAGGTTATTCACAATATGTTCTTCTAGGATTTTTTATTCAAAAGTGGGGCACGTAATCGAAAAGTACAAAATTTGGGGTTGAAATACTGATATTTATTAATTTTGATGTAAAATTCCTGTTTGGGCTATGTTTAACAAGATATTATTATATATTCTCGACATACAATTTTTCTGAAACTTGGTTCCAAATGACTTCACAATATGTTATTTTGAGATATATTATCTAAAAGTGGGGCACCTAATCGAAAAGTACAGAATTTGGGGTTAAAATGCCGACATTTATTAATTTTAATGTGAAATTTCTTTTTGGCCATGTTTGACAATGTAATATTATATGTTCCCAACATATAAATTTCATTAAACTTGAATTAGGATGACTTCAATATAAGTTATTTTTTTATATCATCTTCAAAAATCTGCCCGGCCATCGGAAATTACAGATAAGTTTCGTGTAATTCCGAGTGTAGCAAAATTTCGCCGTAAATCTGGCAAGTACTTTGCGACTAGCTTTCCTTTGTTCCGATGCAGCATTTAAGTGCCATGTTAAATCGTTTTCTGGCAACGCTTTTTTACCGTTCCGAAAACGAGAGAGATGTCCGCTGAGAGATGTCTGCTAGGGTAACTTTGGTCTAAATACTGAAATAGTAAAAAATGATCTCAAAAGTTTCAAGAAAAATCTCAGGGTTTTTCAATATCGTTTTTCTATATACAGATATAGCTATCGGCTTCTATATCAGTGTATCACTGTATCATTAACACTATATGTCAAACAACTGAACAATAAATCACGGAACTCTTGAACTAAATAACCGCATAGAATAAATGCTTGACATAGTACTGTAGTGTGTGGAATAGTACAAGTAAATTATAGAATTATAATTAATAAATGCATAAAAGACAATATTCTAAACTCTTCCAATCTTGAGCACAAACTTCAATAAAACTTTATAGCACTGTTTAAAATATAAATCACATAACCAACTACTACAGGCAGACAGGCAATTTCTGAATACTAGAATATGCTAAGACATTTGTTTAACTTAAATCTGTAAATGCTGTACCATACAGCTGTGAGTGTCTACAAACAGACATTCAAACATATCTGAATTCACTGTACTGGGATTGTGGAACATTTCCCTTCGAGTATGAGTTATTTTATTTGTCACTTGAGCATTCAAAAAGATTCAACATTAAAGTTTCTAAACAATCAGACAATATAGAAATCACAGAATACATGAAGAACTCCGTTGGCCGTCGTCAGGTTTACAACATCTTGCAAAAATTTTATTTATTTATCAAAAATAGGGTATGTTAACTAAAAATTGATTGACAAGTTGCAAATAGCTAGAACAATGCAAAACTGCAGACGGCAGTCAGTGCAGCAATTACTGAATTAAGTCAGTACCGGTACCGGTCTGCAGGTCTGGTATAACATAAGTCAGCATCACTAATCCAATTCCATAATTCTGCAATAGTACGGTACCGGTACCGTATTGAACTCAAGTTCGATCGAATGACTTGATTTACAATTACCCGGTACCGGTACCTAACACTGTAAAATACAGAAATGCGACAAATTTCACCCAAACTTCTTCTCCTAACGCAACCATTGACCATTTCCAGATCAGCAGATTGAAGTTCTGGAATCTAGATGAAACAGATCCGGTAATTCCAAACTCCGGCATCGCACCCGAAGAACAGCGCCGAGAAGGTTTTGTTGGCTCGATGACGGAGCCATTCGCTCTTCACAACTCTTGTCAATTCTATATTATTCTGTTATTACAGAAATTTAAATGTTAAATGATTTTGGATCGAGTGACAAAAAAAATAACGCTGACCAAGAACGAAATCATAGCTATTCATGACAAAACTATAACGCCAAAGTGACTGACTCGACATCTGGAAGAGATTTTTTTTTGCTTTCGTTAATCCTCATACTTCGGAATAATAATTTGGATGGGTGAGTTCGAGGTCAATTTGGCTCGTTTTCACATTATATTCAAGTCCGGATAATGCATGAGGAATTACGGTATTTATTTTAGCCGATGATCGATTCGTTATTCTCATCTATATTATCAACAGAAATTTATATTCATAAAAACTGTAGACGTAATTTCTGTTATTCCAATGTGTCAATCAATCTGTCAATTTCCTTTGTTATGTATTTCGTATATTTTTGGTTATAATGCTTGTTTTCTGGTTGACGTAAGAATAAATTTTTTATTCTCTCTCTTTCTCTTAAACTGATGGTGATTGTCACACCAAAAAATCACCAAAAAGTCTGGGATTATTATGCTAAAACATTTATACATTGACAAGGTATCAAGCTACATTATAAGAAATATTGATGCCAATGTAGCAAAAACATCAATGAAGACAATTATATGGAAGATATTTTTTTCATTTTAAGACATGTGTAGTCAAAAAAAAATATTGTCCATGGTGGGAAATATTGAACTTCATAATGTGAAAGATTGATTGCTTCCTGATATTCAAGCATATACTGTATTTATATTAATTGTATTATAATAAATATTAATTATATTAACTGATTATCAAAGTGAAGTATTACGTTGTTTTAGGATAGGATTTACATATTTTTATTATTAATATTTCATTACAGTTATTCGTTTGTTATATTTAATGCAAATAGAAACGATTTTTTTTATTATTATTAATTCCTCGAAGTATTTTGTTATTATAAATAATAATGGAAGTAATACCTATAAGCAGAGAACGTCGGATAATTCCCCTGAAAAACATGTCATTTTTTACAGCCGTCGTACTATATTTCGTGCCTCTCGTCAGATTACTTTTCCGTGTTGAGTATGGTCCTATATTTTTATATATTGAGATAAGCCTGTCAAGTCAACCGAATTGTTTTTTCAATAACTCTTCGTCAATAATTCAATTCTTCCTCATTGAGCTTATTATGAGCTTATGGCGCGGCGGTGTGGCTCAACGGGCTAAGCGTTAGGAATACGCTCGCCACCGCACCTCTAATTACTCTGCGTGGGTTCGCAGGTTCGAATCCCATGCGGGGATGGTTATGTGCGAGAGGATTGCTGGACTCCTCGCCGTCGTTGGGTGGTTCACGTAACCGCTGGTCGGTTACGGCTTCCTCCACCACCAAGTCCATGCTTCCGAAAACAAACAATACAGTAAAACTAATCCCATACCCGACTTGGAATAGTAACCGGACGAGAGGCCGTGGTTCGCCATATGGATAAGCCGTCTTATCGGCTTTCCTCTTCCCCGGGATAAATATGTAAATCCTATCCTATCCTATGTCCAAGCTTTAATATATTTAAACAAAAAGAAAATCGCCTAGGCTAAAAAATTGTATAATCGGTGTATTTGGATAACTGCATTCCTATATTCTGTAGCCTATACTTTTATGTAGTGCAAATACAATATGTGTCGATTTTTTTTAGTTGGATAAATGATATAACATAATTACGTTTTCATAATAACATATTTTACCATAAAACAGTAATTTAAAATACCCCAAATAAAAATAGGGAAATAGGAAAGACGAGAGCGAACTAACGAAAAATAAAAGCTTCAACCACAAAAAATTTTGAAGCAATTGGTCCATCAGGTAAAGAGAAAAGCGTATTCCTCATAACAACAAGAATACGAATTACAAAACGATTTATAGGTCTATACCGTGTCCAAAACGATCTATATGTATCGGTTTTATTTTGTGTCCAGTAAGCTCACTCTGGCCCTCTGCTTTGGTGGTGACATGAGCGAATCATCGGATCATAACAAGCTCACTGCCCACTGGACTGGTATGCCAATAATGCCGTTCTGCAGCATCTTGTTCCTCCCACCGAGCCATCTATCTCTCCACTTGCCTTATTTTATGATTGATTGATGGAACATTTGGCGTTTTGGAATGACGATGGACACATAGAAGATGGAACTCATTTATACAAGTCAAGAAACAAATGCGAGAAATGCAAGTAAGATGCTTAGTACCGGTACCGTATGCACTGCTGGACTACGGTATCTACCGCCGTACCGGTATCGTAGGATACCAACCATACTGCTGTACAGGTCAGAAAACAGTAGTCTAGTTTTGGCGATGCTAGCGTACTGGAACACAGTATCGGGTCTAGCGAAGTAAACGTCGTATGGTACAGGTGGTACCTAACTCCTTAAATAACACCAGACAGAAATGTGATGTGAAAATTTATGATTAAAATAAATTGTTGGACACAGACCGAAATTCCTGACATGCGCATTTCTGCATTTAGTTAAAATCAAACCCTCTCAGTCTTCAATAAAGCAGGTATGTCCCATACCAAATACAGAAATGATGTATCTATGGCGTTCCGCGGGAGACTGACTTTTATTTAAAAAAAAATTTGGGCAGTATTTTTACATGACATTTTTGTTTGGCATTATTTAGGCATTTACGGGGTGTACTTATTCAGACCCACAGTATCGGTCTACAGGTTTTCTGGTTTCAGTGTTCAGTCATTTGGCTGCCAATTTTCGATAACGTTATACAGTTATACGAATACTAAATTAATTTGAACACTAAAAAATTTTTTTTGCAAAATTAAAAATACTTTGTTGTGTTACAGGAGACCTACGAATGTTTGTTTATGTCATGTCTTTCCTGCAAATCCTGTTGGCTTAAATAAAACTAAGTTGTTCATTCTACAACATCCCAAGGAATGTAGTCGACCACTCCATACAACAGTGATTCTTGAAGCTTGTATCAAGTCAAGTTTCTGCAAAATATTCAGAGGCAACAGGTTCCCAGAATCTAAATTTTCAGATTTGTATGCATCACTGAAAGAAAAAAACACCATTCTGATGTACCCAGGACCTCATGCAATACCTCTATACGAGTTGAAAATGAATGAAAAAGATATTTGTAATATTGTTCTCTTGGATGGCACATGGAAACAAGCACAAAATATGTACAAACGATGCAAGTTTCTCCACAGTCTACCATTGGTATGGTAATAATCTTTTGTTATCTGTGCAATTTTGCTGATAAACTATTTATGTTAAAAGTCGGTTTACTGATATAGCATGTATCTGCAGCCAAATCCTCTTCATGTTGTGAAATTTTGAATTCTTCTAAGTTATACTCCGCTCTGTATACTTTTACAGGAGACCTCATAAAAGAGTCTAAACAATTTTATATGTGCTTGTTTTCATTGAATCCTGTGAATATATTTCAAACCATTTTCCTCTCTTTTTTTTGTTTAGTTTCTAAACAAGGTTTCCTGAGAGTAGGTTAACAGTTATTGAAAAGTGTACCACTCTGTCGTATGATGTGCTGTTGACTTGTGATTATTTCTGTTTTCTATATCAGTGGTTGTAATTTAATCTCAAATATTTTCATGTGGAAGGTTTCGATTGAAACTCAACAGAACAGTGAATACGTTGTCAGAACACAACCCAACGAAAAATGTCTTAGTACAGTAGAATGCGCCGCAGTTGCACTATCACATTGGGAACAAGATAAGGCAATTGGAGAAGTATGTAATCGTATACACTTTATTTTTGGCATGCAGATATCATTGGAATTTTGGCAATCTTCCACAGAAATCTCCTGGCACAAAAGATGCCCTTGTCTTTCTTCCGTATTTGCAACATTTTCAATATGTTACATATCATTACGATATCTATCATTAAGGTGTAACTTTTTGTTTCTAGATGCTGTTAAAACCTCTTCGAACGATGTGTCAGTTTCAGTTGGATTATGGTGAAAAAGTACATGAACCAAAAACGAGAATGTCATTCAGATGATGATTACTCATATTGGGGCTGCAACACAAACATGGCATGTTTGTTATACTGGTGTAAGCCACTTTTGAGGAATGACTGATCATGGGTCAGGGTATGTTTCTGAAGAAAATTTTCAGTAACTTCATGCAATATATAGTAACTTCAGACTATATATAAATTTCAGGGCATCATCCGACCCGCAATGTGTTGGTCCTTGTAAGTCCAGTGATACACCTAAACTGATGTTTTATGGAATACCTGAGCCCCTTTTTCTGCCAAGCTATTTTCTGCAAACTGGGTGTTCATCTAAAGCGGTACCGATGCAAGAGCTTCGTGGCCATGTATTGGACTAAGAGCAATGCTCTTCTACTGTCTGTTTACCAATATTACATGACCCTTTCTGTACGAAATGTTTGTATGCCCATTTTATGGAACCTTATGATTTTACATCGTAGGTGTGACGTAACACATGACTTATTTACGCTTTACGGCCGTCTGGAATTTTCCTTGCCCCGAGGTAGACGCTAGTTGCGGATTAGGAGGATGCTTTGCAATTATATATTTTATTAATGATGGGTTTTCCTATTTTGAGAGGGTTGTACTTATGCCATACCTTACATGACTGTTATCAGGTGGAAATTCATACTTGAATATTTTTGGTTTATTCATATAATTAGCCGAATAGGATTGCTGTATATTTTTGCATCGTTTTATTGATCGTTGTCTTATTTTGTATCTTAGCATACCTGTGACTGTTCTTTGAGTCCTTGTCAAAAATAGTCAATTTATCACTAACGCTAACATTAATACTGTAAGCCGTGAACACAATAAAGTTCTTTCTCAACACAAGTGCGGAATTGTCGGTTGACAGATTGCAGTGTTGTTCAGTTGTTGGTGCATCAGTGCATGGATTAAAGACATGCATTTGAGGACCCAAGGGACAGGACGTGACTTCAGCTACCCTGTAACTTGGCGGAGTCGCAGTGGGAGACATAGGTACCGGTACCCTACGTGTACTTATCCCACACTTTCTAACCAATCAATTTCTTTCATTAAGTGTAATTGAAAGATATTTAATAAGGACACTGGGGTGAGCTAATGCCTAAAAATGTACTTTACCGTGGCTTTTCAGTGCATACAGCATTGGTTAACTGATAACAGTCTTATGAGACCTATACTTGGTTTCGTAATAGGATCGGGGCTAGCGACGCGGTGGAATTATCAAAGTTTCCAATAATAACAATTAAAATGAATCATGGTGTGGTACAACATTTACTAAAAGTATCGTAGATTTAGTTTCATTGGACCATGAATAACTCGAAGTTGCATACAAAATAGAAATTTCGTTTCACAAATAATAAATAACTTTAAAGTGACGCTTCCCGGTGCTTTTATTTGTGTTTTCATTAGATTTAGGGATAAGTAGACGCCAGTGGTTGGCTGTAGCCGGAACGGCGTTCCGGTTATTGGACATTTTATTGCATTTGCGTTCCTGTTGTTAAACTTATGGTACAAAAAGTCAAGTTTCGCTGGTTAAACTAGTTATTAATTTATGTTTTGTTACATTATAATTCGTAATTTTTTTTACATCACATCACGCAAATAATTAGTACAGAAGTAACGTGTAATGAATATTTCTCCGACATTTGACCGCATGGAAAATCATCCTATACCTTTCTAAAAAAAAATAACATTTGTATTGAATTGCTATAAATATTCTTGTGATTCTGCACAGACATATTTCAGGTAATTTCTTCATATATCATTGCAGTTCTTCGACTCTATCTTAGGACAGTCAAAACATTCTGTCCGCGTCGTGTTGTAAATATATTACATTTTTGCGATTTTGGTGCGTTCCGGTTGTTACGATTTTTCCAGCTCATCACTGAGTAGACCATTTGACAAGGTTCGTCGGACAGCCCATCTGCTCTGGCGTTTTGTGTTGGGCAATAGACAATAAAATGTTTGTCATATAATAAATTTAATAAACATCAATAAATTTTGTCATGCGAGAAACTCCAACACAATTTAGATTCAGACACGAAGTATTGTACATTAGGATACCGGATTTCATCGCAATTGACGGGAGGTCGCGAAATACCAGAACTGGTCATCATGAGAGATTTAAAACTAGTCAAAAATAAAAAGTAATGGGAAAAAAACAATTGGCACAATAAGATACTCGAACATTTCAAAAATTAAACACAAAGTATAAATCCTAATAGGATTTATACATTTATCCCGAGGTAGAGGAAACCCGATAGGACGTCTTAATTACGTGGTGAATTACGGCCTCTCGACCAGTTATCAGATCATGTCGGCTATGGGATTGGCTAGCCAATATATATGTGATTTTAAAAGGTGCGATTCCACACTGTCATATCTGACTGTATTTAAATAGATACAACAGTGGTACTCAACCTTTTATGGCTCATGGCCCCCTTCCAGCGCCCTTTTGCACTCGTGCTCTCTTTGCTTTTGCTGGCGCTGAGTAAGGACCGTATTTTGTCGCTCTTCTATTCTATCTGCTTTAATCGTGGATTTTACACTATTTTAATAAAGTCTTTCGTTTGCATCGTGAACTTCGAACCTATTTGTGTGTCTTTGCAGCACACTGGATCTTCTAAACTAATTATTACAGTATTATCAGACTGTATTAGTGGCGAGCACCTACCGGTATTCCGGTTAAGTCGTACTGTTGCACGGGCAAAGCAAGCATTGAGCCAATTCTCTGTCATCTCGATTTACTTTGGTGAAGCCAAAGCCAACGTAATTGTCGTTTCATTTTCGTATTTTGGCATTAAGAATTTACCAATTGGTCTACAATATGATAGCGAAGGTTCAGTATAGTGAAAACTACAGGATAGACGGCCTGTTGATTTGTAGATTACAAATCCCATTACGCTTTATGATCAATTATCAGCCCTGTGTCGTGACCCAAAGCCAAAATGCCAAAATGACTTGATAGGTGGTTGGCTATGACCGCCCTTAGCCTTCATCGTGTTTTCCTGGTGTTTTCTTTTGAAGTTTATGTATTTAGGATATAGAGGGGGAACATCTCTTCAAGTGCGTGATCAAGTGGGATGAAGCCTTGATTGACAACTTAAGTATTTTTTTCAGTTGTTACAGCATGCCTCAGTGCTGCTCAAAGATATAGAAAAAACTCTGACAGTGTTCAGGAAGTGGTTCAACACAGGTTTCGGAAGAGTTTGTTTGATGTTTATCCATTTTCCAAATACAAAGATTTAGTTCAATTGAAAGTGTAATTGAGCCTAAATTTTAGCAAATTATAGTTACAATTGCACGGAAAGAAAATGCCTCCATTACATTAAAATTATATGAAAAACTGTAATTAATTACATGAATTACAATATACAATTGATCCAACTCAGATCAGTTGACGCGCGTATTTCAAAATTTTATTCATTGCTAAACTCATACAAAAGTCAAACAAAGATGTTCAAAACATAAAAGTGAATCTACGTTATTGGCCAATTATGGTGTAGCCCACAACATCGCTAAAAAGAATCGCCCGTTTGTTGGAGGGGAATTTTTCCGCGAATGTATGTATGCTGCAAGTTCGGAAGTCATTTCTCCTGATATAAAAAGTTAATTTTCCAGCATCAGTCTTTCTAACAACACAATTATGAATTTCAACTAATCAAAACTTCGATCCAGGCTGACAGATATTCACTTGAATGCGTTGTTGCGAATACAATGTACTGAATTGGAGCCACGTTTTGAACATATGATTTTGAGCCAACCCTAAATACACATATATACAATGTAAACTAAATTATGTTGGCTTTTTGTTTTTCTATATATATATATATACATTGGGATGTTTTTGTGTAACAAAACAAGCCATAAGTAGCCATTCATATGGGGCCGTTTGCTAGATGAGCAAGTAACTTCATTAGTCACTATCAGTTGCAAATTCCTTGTTGAAAGCCGTGCTTGTTATTTATTCCTCCGGTATTCTATCATCTAACCATTGTATTTATTAATTTTATTACATAACCGAATGCGATGCTAGGTGTATCTAAAATCGGGCTTGCCGCCTATTTTAGGGCCTATTTTTCAAAATTTTCTCAGGGCTCTTGAGCGCGCCCTGAACCTCGGCCGTACCATATCGTTCTTTTGATCGCTCCCCTTCTCTGGCCCTCCAATGTTCTTCTGCTACCTATTATGGCCCGCGGTCAATCAACTTTGAGATCTTTGTCAAATACATAACAAGTTTTTTTAAGTCACACTCCTAAAATGGAAAGCTGGGGAACATGCTGTGTGTGAGTAATATACTGCATAGGCTTGCACGTGATTTACGGAATTATTTCGAGTTACGGAAGCGAAGTTACGAATTACGTAAAGTCGTAATTATTGGTCGAGCGCTTTCGCGATTGAAACGAGCTCTCTTCAGAGCAGTCAATTCCGTTGATTGTAAAAAATTAAGTTTAATAAGTAGAAGAAGTTAGAGTTCCGGTATTAGCAGCCGTTTTTCTCTCTCTTGTTACGCAGGTGGGGAAGGCATAACGCGTTGCCATTTACTAACCTATTAACAACTTATCTAGCATGGCCAAAGTACATATTAACCGTAGATAAGGGATAGAATTGTGTTGGGACCGATGGACGCCAACACACCTGGTTTCAACTTCTTCGGGTGAAATTACTAACGAATGTAAGAGATCAACTTATCAAACATGGTCTATTTGTAAATGCCGTGATAATTAATGTCGCGCTTATCAAACAGCAATATGACGACGGAAGAGAAATTGCGTAATAAACCAACGCAACTTACTTAAGTAGTTTTTTCGGCATCGGTAAATCGATTGAGACGGCAGAGAAAACGAAACAACGGGATTTCCCGTGTTTATTGTGCGCGAGAACCATTTTCTATTACAAAGTCGGATATTGTAAAAAAAACGGTGAAATAACTAGTCTGATTATTAAATTATAAATCTGGAATTTTTATTTAATACGAAAGTCGTATTGATACGATAATACGATTCTAAAAAGTCAACTATCGTTTCATAAATATCCGTATACCAGTGTTGGTAATGATAAAATTGATCGCATGAAATTGGGTGATAAAGGAAAATCAAAACTAAAACAAAAGATAAAAATCAGAATAAAATTAATTTGAATTCACTCCTTGATATTTGTCTTTAACATCTGTCGCCGGCGTGTAGTACTGCCGGGAATATGAAAACCAAACTTCGATGTCCCATTCGGAATAGAAGTGGATTCAATTGGTTGTTATGATAAGTTTAAATGTGTGAAAAAAATATCGCAATTACGGGGTCATTACGTAATCGATTTGGCCGTAATTACGGAATTGATTTTTGTCAATTACGTGCAAGCCTAATACTGCATGGGGTAATATTTGTCAAATGCTTGTGGTATTGATTTACTTTTGGTGTTGGTACATTAATTTTGCAATTTCAAGCTTGAATAAGTATTTATGTCAATTTCAGAATATCCAGTGTTGAAATAACTGATTGGCTTTAGTCTTGGGTGCTGTGTTGCAAAGAGATTTACCAACTCGAATTTGTAAAACTTCGTCCCCCATGCCGAGATCCCATTTTGATTTTTCAATATTAATTGTCAACTTATTTGAAGCCATCCAATCATGCACTTTTACTATTTCATTGTTTACATTCTTCTCTAAAGTTCGAATTTGATTTATGACTGGAAAAGAGATCTGTGTCATCAGCAAATAATTTTTCTAATATAGGCCGCGATCCGAGGCCATTTATCTTTCAGTTTCGTAGCGCACATAAGGTAACTACCTGAAAATGATTTTAAAATGTTCCTTAGAAATTTAGTAACAAATATTGCCTTGTTCCCACTTC